CCCAAACACGAACGTGTTCGGGGCGAATGCTTTAAGCAAAAAAAACAAACCTGTTCGGTTTGCCTCGAACGTGTTCGAGGCGAACCGAACAGGTGTTCGTTTTTTTGCTCAACCCTAACCTAAACCATATAAATAGAGTACACAAAATGTTGACAGCCTATTTCTAACACACCCCCTAGGCTGTAACACATCAGCCACAGGGAGGCTCAACACCCATGGCCGAGAGGAGGCGGTAATGGTACTGGCGAACAAGTGACTTGGTGAACAAGTCAGCAAGGTTGCAGCCGGAGGCAATGTGGTCAGCCTTCAGCTGCTTGCGCTGTACGAGCTCACGAAGAAAGTAATGGCCAAGGTGAAAAAAAACGGCCGAAATTTTGAAATTCTGGTGTATAAAACGCCATCGTAATTTTCGGCTGTTTAAAACGCCAAAATGTTGTAATTTCATTGTGGTGCAAAAAAAAGGCGTTTTTTACAGCTGAAATCTTGAAACCTACCGGTGTACACATAATTTCAACAACTGTTTCCAATCATGACCCTCGATTGGATGAACTGCCATGAGGAAGACTAAGGGGATTGTCTGTGAGACTGTACAACAATGAATTCGAGGAGGAAAGGATGAAGAGTGTGAGGGGGAGGAGGAGGAGGAGGAGGAGGGTTAAATGAGCGCAACCTAGACACTTTACTAGCATTGTATTGCTTCTTTGCTATCCTGGTCATGAGTGGAACCATTTCTACTGTTTCCATCAAAAAAGAAAAGTCACAAAATTCTCTAGCAAAAAAACGGCCGAAATTTTGAAATCTGATCGTAAAATACAAGAGTAAAGAACGGACTGTATTTTACTTGTGCCGTAATTTTGCACCTTGGTATTGGCGGACCTCAATGTGCTTGGTGCGGCCGTGGAAGACGGGGTCCTTGGTGAGATGAATGGTGCTCTCGTTGTCACACCAAAGCGTGAGGGTTGGTTGAGGATACCCGAGTTCGGCCAGCAAGAAGGAGAGCCAACAGGCCTCCTGGGCAGCCATGGTCCTGGCATACAGTTCTGCCTCACATGTAGACAGTGAGACGGAGGACGAACGAGTGGCGCGCCAACTCACAACCGCGCTGCCAAGGGTAAAGCAATACCCCTGAGAAGATCGCCGATGACTCTGGTCATCAGCGTAGGAGGAGTCACTAAATCCCTCAAGACGAACAGGGGAAGAGCCGCTAAGAGTGAGTACATAGTCCTGTGTGCCTTGAAGATAGCGAAGGACTCGCTTGGCGGCAGACCAGTGGTGGCGAGTAAAGCGACCAAGTACAACGTAGCGAGACAGTACACTAACGGGGTAGGCCAAGTCTGGCCGAGTGCACATCATCGCGTGCATGAGGGATCCAACGAGTTCGGGGTATGGCTCGTCACAGGGCTCAGTGAGGGAACAGAGGGCGTAGTGAGCTGGTGATGTAGAGAGAGTGGGGTAGGCATTGATGTTGCGTCCTGCATCTTGAACCGCGTCAGGACGTTGTTAATGTTAAAACTTCTATGAGAGGGTGATGGTCTGGGCCGTGCGATCACGTGTGATTTCCATGCCCAAATAGTTCGTCAGCTCCCAAGTGCGGTTTTGACTGCAGTCAACTCGGCCTGATCCTTGGTGACAAGGATAATGTCATCGACATAAACTAGGATGAAGAAGCGGGATGGGGTCGACCACCACCTTTAGTCGACCATCTCCAGGTCGACCACTCCCCTAGTCGACCAACTCCAGGTCGACCACACAGCAGTCAGCAGACCACAAGTCGGCTGCCCCAAGTCGGCGTCACCAAGTTGACGTCCCCCACAGGTCGACCGTCCAAGTCGACCTCCTGAAGTCGGCGCCCTCCTGAAGTCGGCGCCATCACAGTGACACCGTGCAGGTCGACCACCCCCGTTGACCAGCTCGCCCACAACGATAGGTCGGCTGCAACTCCCCTCACACCCGACCACCAAGTCGGCTCCACCCAAGTGAGGACGGGGCCAACCTACCACAACTCACGTTGACATGTTCATGTCATTTCGTAAGTATTAGCGTGTCGTGAACGCTCACGAGTTATTTCTTCGGTGCTCGTAAGTTTCCAGGTGCAGTTAGTGACGTGCGGTTTCCATGCATGGTGATTAGTGTTCACGTAATTCGTTTTCGTTCATGAATGTTCAGGGCATTTCGCCCCCAGCGTTGTGGTCAAGGCTCGAAGCTGCGGAGATAACTTAATCAACGGGAGCTCACGGGGTAGGAGTGATCTCTGTGTTCGTTCACTTAGTCGTTTCCTTGTGCGCACACTACTTGCTAGTTCACAAGGGAAATTGGCAAGAGTTTCACTGGGAAAACATGACAACAATGGTACAATGAAGTTGGCAAGACAAGACTACATCAGATGTTAGCATGCAGGTCGGTCGTCTGTCAGCGCAGCATGGTCGACCGCGTTCCAGCTTGACTTGGTCGACCGCGCTCCAGCAGTGCAAGGACGCGGCCTGCCAACACTGCAAGTCGACGGCGTGCCAACGTTGCGGCAAGGCGGCACCCGCAAGACAGCAGTGCACCCACTTCGTAGGTGCGCGCAGCTGGTTGGCGTGCTCTGCCTCGACACCTGCACAGCGCACACACCAGATCCTCCTTGTGCTGACGATTGCATCAGCCACGTCGACCTCGGGATACCACCACCGAGGTCAGCCTTGCCAAAACCACCTGGGTGACCGTCGCATTCCTTCGCAGAATTTCGTCGCCCAGGTAACCTGGTCTACCTTGCAACCACGTCGACCGGCTGCCCCGTATCGTGCCCGTCGACCACCCAAGTCGATGACCACCTCCAGTCGACCTCACCAGGTCGACCACGCCCCCGGTCGACCAACTCCAGGTCGACCGGCATCTCCAGGTCGGCGTCACCAAGTCGACGCCCACCACTGGTCGACCTCCCACGTCGACCTGCCGAAGTCGGCGCCCTCCCGAATTCGGCGCCCATGCAGTGGCCCACTTGCAGGTCGACCAGCCCCGTCGTCCAGCTCGCCCACAGCTGCAGGTCGGCTGCTCCCCTCACACCCGACCACGAAGTCGGCACTGGCCAAACGAGGACGGGGCCAACAACAACTACCGTTGGCAGAGGCCATGAGCTAGAGCACTGTTGCGCATTTGGCGCAACCATGGGGGTAGCGCCAAAAGGGCCGGAGGGTGCCAATCGAGACACACGCGCGGCCTGAGGCCGCAAGTCAATTCGCTGCCACATGTGCAAGGGTGGCAGCGAGGTGGCGCGTGATCCAGGATTAAATTTGTGGGACCCTTGAGCCGTTTGTCCTTATTCACCGAGAGGAAATTCGCCACAGGGGTGTTTCGTGCCTGAGCGGGGTCCTGTGCCTCAACTAGGTTGGATTTACGAGGGCGCATCCAGTTCGACGGCTACTTGTTGATTCCCTGAATGGCATACTATTCGTTCTTGAAGCACGTAGTTAGTTGGCGCTCCATCAGGTCGTCTGCAGTCTCCCTCTCCTCCTGTGAGGCAGAGCTCTACGCAGGCACCATGGCTGCTCAGAAGGCCCGGTGGCTCACCTTCCTACTCCAGGAGCTTGGTTTCCTACAGTCCGCCCCCACCCTCTGGTGTGACAACCAGAGTACCATCCACATCTCTCAAGACCCTGTGTATCACACCCGCACCAAGCATATTGAACTTCGGCACTTCTTCATCCGTGACCTTGTCCAACAGGAGCAGCTGAAAGTGGAATACGTTGCATCTGACTGCAACCTGGCTGATCTGTTCACCAAGCCCCTTGGGAAAGTTCCCCACCACCGTCTCCTAGGCGCCATGGGGCTCTGTGCACCACCCTCTCTACCCTAAGTTCGATTGACGCCTATGGGGGGGTGTTAGTGTTAGCCTTTAATCTCACAATTTGTACTTTGCATTTTCTATATCCTAGAGTAGTGTAGTTTGCACATTGTGTTTGGTTCGGTGTACACCTACATCCCAACCAAACCCAAATGTAATCTCCAAGCAATCTCCAACCCACCAATTGGAGATTGCCTTGGGATTACCCCCAATCCCTAGGGATTGCCCCCGATTCCCTTCCCCATCCATTCCCTCCCCTTCTTGAATGTACTTAAAGAGCTTCAAGCTCATTACTAATGTATCGCTTCTAAGCCTAAGTTCTAAGACATGGGCGCCGACTTCGGAGGGCGCCGAGTTTGGGAGGTCGACTTGGAGTGGTCGCCATGGTGGGTGGCGTCGCCATGGTGTCGCCGACTTGGGGCAGCTGACTTAGGTGGCCGGCTGACAGTAGTGCTGATTGACCTGGAGTTGGTCGACCAGGAAAGACGTCGACCTGGAGCTGGTCGACCAAGGGTGTGACCGACCTGGAGAGGTCGATTGGAGGTGGCCGTCGACTTGGGAGGTCGACGGGCACAGACAGGAGCAGATGGTCGACGTGGTTGCCTGGTCGACCAGGTTACCTGGGTGACGAAGTGCTACGGAGGAGTGCGACGGTCGCCCAGGTGGTTTTCGCGAGACCGACCTCGGTGGTGGTTTCCCGAGGTCGACATGGCTCATCGGACGCACTCGTCAGCACGAGGACGCTTTGGTGTGTTCGCTGTGCAGGTGACCAGGCACAGCACGCCAATCATCTGCGAGCACCTGCGAAGCTGATGCGATGCTGTATTGCGGGAGTGTTGACTGGCCGCCGTGGACTGGCGGTGTTGACACGCCGTCGACCTGCAGCGTTGGCAAGCCGCGACTCTGCACCGCTGGAGCGCGGTCGACAAAGTCGTGCTGGCACGCGGTCGACCATGCTGCGCTGGCAGTCGACCTTCTTGCATCCTAGCTCTGATGTGGTCTAGTCTTGCCAACTCGATTGTACCATTGTTGTCAAACTTTCTTAGTGAAACTCTTGCCAAATTGCCCCGTGAACTAGCAAGCAGTGTGTGCACTAGGAAAACGACTAAGGACCAACGAACGCAGAGATCACACGAGCACCCGTGCCTAGCCCGTAGTCTAGCTCCCGTTGTAGTAGTTATCTCCGCAGCATACCTGTGTCCACCGTGGATTCAAGAATGACGTGGCGCTGAAACGGCTTCACAGTGGTGGATGCCACGAAGCCAAAGAAGAAGGCGGGCTGCTCGGCTGCACCCTGCAGCACCTCACACAGCGCCAGCCTCCTCTCCAGCACCGCCTGCTGCGGCTTCTCCTGCGAGTCAGCCAGGAAGACCTGGATGGTGCCGGGGTCCCCCGGCTCATAGTCCACCCACGCCGTGTACGCCTTCCTGCTGCTCAGAGGGAAGGGAGATTTCACAGCGGCAACTGACTTGTCCTCACCTCGAATGTTCAGCCCCACATGTGGGCTACTCATATCGCCATGCTCCTTATTCTGCAAAGTGTCAAACTCCACCGCCATGCTCCTCAAGTCCATCCCACCATACCCCACACCGGCGCTGCTCCCAACCCGGTCCGTCGCCGAGACGACAAAGGCAAAGCCGTTGAAGCCCACGCGGCCGGATTGAGGCGAGAGGGAGAAGGTGAAGTTGGCGTGGAAGGCGAGCTCCAGCCCACACCCCAACGCCGCCTGCCCTGCTTCGTACACAAACAGAGTCACCGGCGCTGTGATAAAGGTTCCCCTTGTCTCGCGCTGCGTCCCCTTGGTGAGCACAGACGCCCGCAGGAGAACGGGCTGGCTGATTGAGTAATTCTTGTCCAGGCCTGCACAAACATATAAGACGGACGGAAAGGAGTGGGATAGAAATAGATAAAGGGCCTCAAGGTTCTGGATTTGGGGCAGAAAATGGGTTTAGGGTTGGAGCACATGAATGAGAACCGGGGGCAATCCCCAATGCAATTGGCTGAAATATTCAGTCGGTGGGCTTGGAAATTTCAGCTGATCACATCACACTTGGGTTGGGCTGGGATGTAACACCCAACCACGAAACTTACAACTTCTTGAAATTTGGACAAAATATGAGCAAGTATTAAACATGAGATGGAAGCCTACTTCTAACAATACGGAGGCGTAAGAAGGTCGGACAGGACTCCTACTCTGAAGTTCATGTGAGTTGGACGTCCTCTGTGAATGAATATGTGGTTACATTTCATCGATTTCAAATGGTGTTTCCTACCTTGAGCAACACAGCCGATCCTTCTAAATTGCGCAAATCCTGCGTCGCACAGACATGTGGGTGCCAAGCTAGCCCCCTCTGGATAGCACACCCCATGGCCTCCACACGCAGCAGCACCAGCAGGAGCAGCAGAGGAGACGCCACAGAATGCATTGCATGCTACCTCCTGCCGTTTTCGCACCGAGGCACAGCCAAGTGGCAGTGTGAAGCAATTGGCATCAAAATAGTTACGCCGACATGCCCCATCAAGCAGAGGGCCCGAAAGGAAGCTGCTGTAGAGATCCAGGATGCATGCAGCATGAAGCGTCACCGCAGGTCCTGTGAGGTAGTTGTGGGAGAGGTCCCTGCAGGGGGGAGGGGCAGGTGCCGGGAGAAGGACGCATAGGGATCACCTCAATGCATCTAGACACGGGATGGGAAGAGGACAGACACGGGAAGGCAGACAAGGAGAACGAGGAGCAGACAAAAAGCGGAGCAGAGGGGGAAGAGGCGGTTGACGAGGGAGAGGCAGAAGATGAAGAGGAAGACGAGTCAGATCAGGGGATGGTGGGGTGAGACAAGATAAAGAAGGAGGTGAAGAGAGGAAAGCAAATCAACGGATGTGGTTGCCGAGAATATTAAAAGGGTGCAAAAATGGCAACCACGAGCATGCATGTGGTTCTGTTGAAGTCGCTTTCCACAAAAACTTTAGTGCATGCTTGGTTGGCCGTCACAGAATCAGCCACTTGGATTCTAGTTGAACTCTTGTTTAGTTCTGACTAGTGCCTAATGTACATTGTCCTTGTGTGAACACTTGCTTCCTAAGAAATGTGCGTGCGTGCGTGCGTGCGTGCGAGTGCGCGCGCGCGCGTGCACGCGCGTGTGTGTGTGTGTGTGTGTGTGTGTATGTGTGTGTGTGTGTGTGTGTGTGTGTGTGTGTGTGTGTTTTCTATTTGTATTCATTCAGTTTTTGTTATCTTTGTGACTCCACAGCATGAATGGCATGGCAGGTGCTCCTGCTGGCTTGCCATTGCATGACTTCTGGAGTACAACGAGTGTCTGTGCGCGACTTGTCAAATGCTTACAAGAGGGAGAACGCCAGAGCAGGCGAAAAGGAGTGAGGTAGTGGTGTGGATCGTACAGGTATAAGAGCTTCGTGAGCTTGGCGAGAGTGCTCGGTATGCTCCCATACAGCTCGTTGAAGGCGAGAGACCTGATGGCGGGGAGATAGAAGGATGTTAGAGGAGCAATAGGAAGGATAGAAGGGGAGAATGGGGACAGATGGAGTACCAAGCTGGGTAGGTTAGAACAACGCAATACTAACATGCAAAATCGACATGGTAAATTCACTCGCATATTCACTTAATAGGTTCATTTCATGTGCTGAATTCACTTGCTAGATTCACTTGCTGCCTGGTGGAAAGCTCTCCAGCGGAATATACGACACACGAGGTTGATGCCTATGCCATAGTACAAAGCAACACAGGTGCTCACACGCTAGACGCTATGGGTGGAGAAGAAGCAAGATATGATTTCACATAAATGCCATGGATTGAGAATTTACACTACAAGGAACATGGTGTTAGCGGCATGGTAGCCTCAAGGAAAACAAAGGAAAAAGTACGGGAGCTTACACGTAGCGCAGCTGGGTGAGTTCCCCAAGAGACTCAGGAAGCCTTCCACTCAAACGATTATTGTGAAATAACCTGCGTGCGCGTAGAATTTACAGGGAGGGCACGCGTACAGAACACTGCTCTGGAAGCAAACCCAACAAAACAGAAACATGCATACAGTGCACAAGTAAGGGTAGTGGAGATAAGTTAAAAGTAGATACAGGGCAGAATTGGAAGTTTGTAGACAGGACTTGAACAATTCTTACAGAAGCACCAAGTTCTTCATTGAGCCAATCTCTGCAGGGATGGAGCCAGTGAGCTGATTCCTATAAAGATGCCTGAAGTGAATGTGAAGATATGATGGGATGTGAAAGAGGCAAAGGCGAAAACGTGGTATGAATGACCAAGTCAGCAGAGGTACGAAATACGAGGTGCAGTGTCTCTGCTAATAGTTGGAGCAAATTTAAGTGGTCTGAATAGAGAAGGATTCAATGGGGTAAGGAAGGACAAACCCAGGCCAAAAGGAAATGGGGCAGAAAGAGGTTGTCCTGAAGCCATGGCAGAAGGCAAAGGGGACTTCGGTTGAGAAAAAACCAAAATTCCAGTTCGGTTCGGGTTCGACCCGACGGTTTAGGTGGCCGACCATGTTAGGTAGGGCAGGACCGTAAATCTGAGTGCACCATCATCGGCTGGCACACGCGCCAGAAGGCGGCATCCTCCTCCTCCTCCTCCTCCTCCTCCTCCTCCTCCTCCTCCTCCTCCTCCTCCTCCCTCCTTGTCCCCTACTCTAGTTGCTGCCGAACCCAGCCCAATGCGACGCAGGCCGGCTGGGGAAAGTAAAGGCCCCAGCTCGGCCTGTTATGAATGGGTACGCCTCAGGCTGAACCACGGATTTCGTTTGTGCTCATGCGTAATGGTTACATTGTACCTAGCCATCAGCAAAACTCGCACCTGATCGGGTTGAACTGGTCGAACCGCGAAACATAGTCGACCGAACTGGTTCTCTCTGGGCCGAGTTCTATAGGTCACAAATAATTTCACTGCCAGGTCTGTGCAGATCTAGACTTTGCCGCACATATCTGGAATTTTGCTTGCGGTCACACCCATACGAAACTGTATAGCATTACCGAATGGTAGTGCTCACCAACCTTTCTGGCTGAGATAGCGAGCACACGCTGTGGGCGTATGCTGCATACAATAGAATCGGCTGACATACACGGTAGCACTACGCCACGTGCCTACTTTGTGTGCGACTTACAAGCCAGTGAGTCGAGCGAGAGCACAGACACTAGCAGGAATAGTGCCTGAAAGCTGGTTCCTTGAAAGATTGCTGAGATAAAAAAGTTAAGCAGGAGAGACATAAAGAATTATCACTCAATTATAAGCCAGCTGAGATGTGTCATTGAGGAACATAAGGTCCATTTAGGAACATAAGGTCCATTGAGGAACATAAGGTCCATTGAGGAACATAAGGTCCATGAGGATCAAGACGTGGGCGTGAGTGGTGCAGCACACTGCACGAGCTATGCATTAGGGAGAGGAGCGAGGGGCTTTGATTATGGTTGAGCGGCAGGGGCCTTATATTGTGGGTGGGAGTGTGCACTTGTAGATTTTGCAAGTTGGGTGTTATCCCAAGCTCATCTAAATATGATCACTCGAAATCTCCAAATCACCAGTTGGAGATTTCAGCCAATCGCACTAGAGACAGTCTCCTTCTTTTGCAAACAATTGGAAAAAGAGCACGGAAATAAACTGAACCCGTCAAACATGTATTTTCTTTCCTCGAACATTAGGATGCTCGCCTTATACAATTGAACATCGTACTTCAAAAAAAAAAAAAAAAAATTGACCGGAATGGAACACCTTTGACTCGGGTTTCAAGGATGGTCAAATATAATTGAGGCGAACGTATTCAGGTTCGCCTGCTGCTCATAACTACCTACTTGAGTCAACTTGCTCGTTCCCGTGAACATGTCCAGTTTGAGTCAAGAGTCAGCACACACGCAATGTGAATATGTGGCTTATTACCACAAGATAAATGCAAAAGGGTAGCGAGGACGGGGTGAAGAGATTGTACATTCTGAAAGCAATGACACGAGGAGAATAGGGGAGCATGCTATTGACCAGCAAGTAGAGGGTTAGTTGGGAGGATTAGGAAGAGTGAAGACAGAACAAGATTAAAGAAATGTGGGCGAATTACATACACTACATCCTTACATGGCTATCAGCTTCGTCAGCAAGCCAATGTCAGTGGGAATCGAGCTGGAGAGCTGGTTGTTAGCGAGAAACCTGTCCAAGACAAGGAAACGAGGCACACGTGTGGGGCGTGCAAAGGAGATGGACAAGCAAACCGGCACACCCTACTGATTTCGCCTGCTGATCTGCGCAGATCGGCAACTTGGCCCACCCATAACTGGAAATTGACGATTTCGTTGGCATAACAGTGTAGATCGGGACTTTGCGTGTAAATATCACAGCCTAGGCACTAGTTTCCAACAAATGTGCTGGAACAAACATTTCTAACCAATTCGCCACTGCTTACCACCCTTTACCACACTGAATCTTCAATTCCCAACCCCCCCCCTTCCCCCCCCCCCTCCCCCCCCCCTCCCCTCTCTTACTCTTTGCCGATCTCGCGGCGTTGATCCTCTGCACATTGTTGACTCCTCCTTACCTAGAACCTTAGATTTCTGGGGCGACGGTTGATTAGGTTGCGGGACTGAAGTTGAAGGGAAAAATATCCCCTCAATTTCGGGCCGAGTTTTTGCCCAGGCCGACCCGACTCGACCTGGCCGTTGGCTCATCCCTAAGTTAGGTAGGTCAGAACCGTGATAACTCTGCGCCATCACCGGCTGGTATGCACACGCGGCAGAATAAAGTGGCAACTGAACCCATGACAACTCGACGCAGGCCGGTCCCGGACAGTAAGAGCCCTAGCTCCGCCCGTTACGAACTATGCCAATTTTCGTTAATGCTCGAACTATGTTGTATCTAGGTAGGAGCAAAATTCGAACCGGAACCGGTTCGGGTTGAACTGGTCCTGACCGCGAAACGAAGTCAACTGAACTGGTCCGCTCTGGACCGAAAAAGCTTGTACAGCTCCTAGTCTGATGTTCGAGTTCTCAGGGTTGCAACTATATGAGTAAACAATCTCACTGCCCGGTCCGTGCACACCTGGATTAGAAATTTTGCTACAATTACCATACTGCAACTCAGGATGAGCAAACAGAAACTGAGTTTACCAAATGGCAGTGCTCACCAACGTATTTGGCTGAGATGGTACGCATAGGTTGAGGACTTATGTTGCATATGATAGTAGCACTACACCATGTGCCTACATTGTGTATAACTTACAAGAGAGTGACTTGAGCGAGAGCACTGACACTAGCAGGAATGCTTCCTGAAAGCTGGTTCCTCGAAAGATCACTAAGGTAAGAAAGATAAAGCAGCAGAGGAATAGAGAATAATTACTCAGCTGTAAGGTAACTGAGCTGTGTCATCGAGGTCCATAACGATCAAGATGTGGGTGGTGCAGCACCCTGACCGGAAGCTCCTGGGCCCAGGAGTGGCAACTACACGGCACGAGCTATGCATACAGGGGAAGGGACGTTGGGCTTAGATCGTGGCTGAGCAGCAGGAGTTTGATATGTTAGATTTGAGCTTTAGAGTGATGCATTAGTAATGAGCTCAAAGCTCTTTAAGTACAAACCGAAAGAGCAAGGAATGGATGAGGAGGGAATTTAAGGGTAATCCCTAGGGGATCAAGGGCAGTCCCAAGGCAATCTCCGTTTAAAGGGTTGGAGTTTGCTTGGTGATCACATTTAGGTTTGGTTGGGATGTGGGTGTACACCCAACCAAACACGAAGTGCAATCTACAGTTCGCTAGGATAAACATACAAATACACAAGTTGAGATTGAGGTCTAGCTGTAACATGATTTTGTGGGTGGGTGTGTGTAGTTGTACATTTTGCGGGTTGGGCGCTACAAGAAATCTCAAGCTCATCCAATTAGGATCACCTAAAATCTCGAAATCCAAACGCACTAGGTATTGCCTCCGGCCCCGGCTCCTTTCTCACTCGTTCCAGTTACACTTAAGGAGCCTACATGTGTGTTGAGTGCAATACATGGTTTGCACGACAACCTACCACCTATTCGCCGACGTTGAGTGAAAGTGAGGTGTTTCGTCTTAAGGTAATTTGTTGTGTGTAAGTTGCACATTTGTGTGTTTTGCGGTTGTGCGTTTACGGCTCAAGAATAGCCTCAACGGCTCATGAGTAATGTGTGTTTTCATGAGGTTGCATTCCTGAGTGTTCGTGAAAGTCCGTGAGTGATTGCGTGACTTCGTGTACGTTTGTGTGGTTTCGGGAGCTATCATGAATGTGCGTGAATTTCTGTGTTCGTGAAATTCCGTGAAGTCTGCGTTGTTCATGAATGTTTATGAGTGTTCATGTTTGTTTCTGTTTTTCTGTTTTTGGTTCTGTTCATCAAGAAAAAAAGGGAAAAACAAGGTCAAAAACATTATCAATGATGCCAACAACTGCACACATGCAAGAAGGGATCTGTCCCCTTCATCCTGCTAAAGTTAGGGTTCAATTTGGTCCCATATAGTGGCCGTTCTATCTATTAATCAGAAGAGGCCCCTGGAACCGTTTTTTACCGTTCTAAACGACCGTTTTTTACGGTGAAATTAAAAAAAAAAACAAAAAAAAAAAA